CTGGGAGGAAGCGGAGACGGAGGCAGCGGGCTGGGTGGCTTGGGTGACGGTGGCAACGGGCTGGGTGGTACTGGGCTGGGCGGAAGTGGCGACGGTGGGAGCGGCGACGGCGGACGGGGACTCGGCGGCATCGGACTAGGGGGCGAGGGGCTGGGAGGACGGGGTGAAGGCGGCAGAGGGCTAGGCGGCGAGGGGCTTGGGGGAAAAGGGCTGGGTGGGAGCGGAGACGGTGGCGGCGCAAAGAAGCCTAGCTTGCCCACAGGGCAGCAATCACACGTTCCACTTTGCACGACAGCATACTTGCAGAAGCCGTTGCCCTCCGCACAGAGTGTCTCCATGGAGGGACACGAGCCGCCCAGCGTCATGCACACCACAGCGCCGTCCGCAGTCGTCAGGTCAAGATTCAGGCCCTGAGGAGGGAGCGACGGAAGGGACGACCAGGAGAACATTAGCATTCCCAACTCCCAAGCATCAGGTTTATGTTTCAGGGAGGCAAGCAAGGAACGCATTGTTGTGCTTGTGTTCAAAAAGGTGTTCAGGTGTTACTCTCACCGTAAGCTTGATTACTGCCTTTGTATCGTTGGTGGCGTAGGGGTCGAATGTGGGTGCTAGGGCCGGTTTTCCATTGACCGTGACCCCCGTCACGGCGCCTTTGCACTGCTTGTTCACGTCCAGCTCGATCTTGTAAAAGTCAATCTTGGGGTCACAACAGTCCGAACCCGGCTTGGCGCAGTCCACCACGCGGGCAGTCATGCACACGCGGTTGCCGCTGACGGTGTAGATCGGGTCGAGGCGGAAGCGGGACTGCTGCGGGTCGCGGTTGCAGCCTGTGCACAGCAACAGCAGCAGCAACATGAATCGAGCGAGTAAACACGTCGTTCGTGTGGACTTCAACGCATGAAGTACATACATGCCCAGCCCCATGTATGGAGCCCAGCGTTCCTTTTCCATGCCTTGGAAACGCAAAATCCATGATTTTATCCAAGCGGGGCGATGCGACCTACCGTAAGGCGGAAATGTCTCTAGGTAAGCCTGGAGAAGACTGCGCTCGGCGCTGGCAGTCGTACGTAGGCATCCCAAGATAACCATCAGCCAGCAGGATAGGAGCAAAACCAAACGCTCCGTCATCCTTACAGGAACCTGTGGCTATAGTACAGGGCATGGAGCAAGCGGGACGCCGTTGAGACCGGTGGGCACTGAGGCCGTGTGCATGAGCGTGCACGCTGCCATTCTGGAAAAGAGCGCAATACATAATATCAATTCTGTTAGGATGAAGGCTGCTAGCGTCTATTGTTGGCATGACAAGTTAAACATAAAACCAAATGTCCATATGGACAACGATGCATCGGTGCGCCCAACCAGATCCTTAAGATGAACAGCTCAAATCTTAGCTTACCAGGAGGTTAAATATACTTGATAAGACAATATGGAGCTGTTTATCAAGCGTAAATGTAACCCCGTCCCAAATCGTTTAGGTTCTGCAGCTACCTAAAGGTTTACCTATCTATCTATTGACCGCCCCGCGATGCCCGGACGATTGGGGGATCGCAGTGGTACAGAAGCTCCCCGACTGCTCGTTTATGTATCGCCCTTGACTTGCGTCCGCCGCTGTTTCAGTAGTTTCAGTCGTACAGAACGGCAGGCTACCACCGAAAAACCGTTGGCTGGCGGTTTCCAGTAGTGCCATTAACCCATCTTCGCGCAAAACCTGCTATCAGTGGGACCACAAGTGTAAAACGTGTCGATTGTAGAACTGAAATGAACGAGGTGCACCTATTCTCTGTGTCATCTGCAGCTCCGCACATTTAGGCTTAGCAAGGTCCCCTGAAGGGCCTGACAATCCTTTCACTGCCTGCGGTAATCCTTGCTTGGTTGTGTGCGTTGAAACTCGCTAAGCGTTGTTAACGCTGCTGATCGTGCTGTTTAGTGCTGCTACATTTGCCGCAGACCAGTCTGAACCTGAAGATAACAACCTCAACATGACATGCTATGCTAAGATGGACATATTACCTGTATGTTACTGTATGCATGAAAAGCTTCGTAATCACTAGCAGGCTCGCTAGCTGTTGGCCCTGAAGCCGCGCATACCGAATCTGGGATTTCAGATTATTACTATTATCACATCACATTAATTATGGTATTTTTCGCGGTTGAACCAATTGAGGTTGCTGTGCGGAGCTGTATCCTAACTACAACCCATTGAATGAATCGCGATGCCCTAGCTATTAAGATGATATTAAAAACATCACATTCATGCATAAAATAACCTGGATACGAAGATAATGTAAAGAAAAAACCATTTAAGAAATCCGACAGACGGCGGTCTTCCAAAAGAACAAGTCGAAACACATGATCCCTGCATCTGCTAAGCACGTGGTAACCGTTTCTCGTCAAATCATCTGTTTCTGATCAAAGGACTGGTCGTTAGTCTCACAAAGCTAGGCAACGTGCTGCTGCTTTAATAATCGTCCTGAACACTGAACATGCCGTCGGGAAGGCCGCCGAAAGGTGAAAAGGATTATAGCCCGTTCCGTATCCATATACATATTACATAGGGTAGGGCTTCGTTCGTCTGCCGCAAGTCGTGCGTATGCTTGCCATGTTAACGGTAACATTCCGATGGTACGGCCTCGAGCCCATGAGCCTTTCCGTTTGGTAACCTACCGACAGCACGCGCTACCTCCTCCAAGGTGAAAGGCTCATCCAAGGATGCTAGCTGCCCATGCCCTCCTGTCCATGACAGTCCGACATGCTTGCCAAGCGCCCTCTCCCAAAGGGGCCCCAAAAAAGGAGATATAGTTAAGAAGCCGATGTGCACCTTCAACACCCGTCTCCCCACCTCCTGCGTTTAACAAGGTGGCAAAGTGATCCCGAAATACATGCAAGTCGTCAATTGCACAACGCTCCCTGAGTTGCCCTCCCAAGGCCCGCCATAATGCACGCTGATCGTGCCTGCACCTAACCACAAACTCACGCATTCTATCTGCATCATTTGCTGCTCGGGCACAACGTTTGGCACGATTCCGAATCGTATGAATGAGTCATTGCGTTACGTGCCTTGCAAAACGCTTCCCACAAAGGACCTGACTTATTCTCGACCTTGCCAGGGCCAAGCCGCACCCTGCAAGCAAGCATGTGTTGCCGGGCGCTTTGGCATTCCTCATTCCTCTATAATGCACCATCCCCCACTTGCATACCCTCAGGCCTGCGACCCGCAAATACTCGAATCAGCACCTTCCGCAGGGGGGTACTAATGCGCTCCACCGACTCCGTGCTGTCGCAGGTCCCATTAGGTAGGTCCGTGATCACCCCATTTAGTGCGTGCATGACCTGAGATCCCTCAGGGAACAGAGCGACAGCGATGTAGCGGTTGGCTTGTTGCTGGCGTCTGCTGAGAACAACTGAATGTGTAGATGGGTGGTACCTGAACCTGAACGCTAACGGTCGTAGTCCCGCTGGATGGACTGTCAGTTTGTAACATCCAGAACTCGCTCAACGGGAGTCGTTTTTAGGTTGCACCGCCCCACCTTTTCCCAATTATTAGACCAGCAGCAGCAGCAGCAGCAGCAGTAGGGCATGTATGTCCATTGTTCCGGAAGGGCAATGAAGTTCATCTAGCAGCGTTTGCGCGCATCAGAAGTACAAGGCCTAGTTATGGCGTCTCTGCGGCTGCAGGTATGATGTCCGACACGTACGGCATTAGAACATGGCAACAGGCAGGGAACGGAGGCGAACTGTATCGTTCCAGTGCTGCACCTTTTGTTAGAGCACATCAGGGCAACTGGTGACTTTCCACAGCAGTTTACCAAAACGGTGGTATCCTCAATTTTGAAGAAGGGTGACCCGTTGGTGGCAGGAAATTATCGGGGCGTTGCAGCTGGCAAGAGCACTTGTGAAGTGCTATGCGTCAGTGATTCTTAACCGTCTGGTACGTGCTGGGGAAATACTGGACCTGCGGCACCCATGCCAAGCAGGCTCCAGGCGGGGTTTTGGCACTGCTCACCACCTCTTTGTCAAGCAACACCTGGTCAGGCGGCATCGGATCGCGGGGCAGCCGCCGTTGATAATAGTACAGATTGACTTTGAGAAGGCCTTTGATAGGGTGCCTCGCGAGCACATGTGGCTTCGGTTGCAGGAGAGGGGGATTAGCGGCCCCATGCTAGATGCTCTGAGAAAAGCGTACGAGAAGGTGTCCATGGTGATGAAGGTAAATGAGAAAGTGGGGAGAGAGTTTGAGTCTAAGCAAGGAGTGAAGCAAGGGTGTCCTTTATCTACGGAGTTGTTTGGACTCTTCATTGAGACACTATCCGATCTGATTGATACTCATGACCTTGTAGAAGCTGGAGTACGTAAGTATGACGCACCCCTTGTGGACAGCAAGCGCGTCTCCATACTGTTGTACGCAGACGATGCTAGTCTGCTAGCGACGTCACTAGAGCGAATGTCTGAGATGCTACATCTTGTTTTCTTGTTTTGCGAAGCTTTTGGGATGCGACCAAATGTCTCAAAGTGTGAAAGGCTTGTTTTTGCATGTGATGGCACCCAGCAGTCGGAACTTAGCGAGAGATGTCAACAGTTACGGCTATCAGGCCAGGTAGTACCTGCCAAAGATAGCGCACGCTATCTGGGCTTGGTATACGGGCCAGAACGGCCTTTTAGTGCGTGCCGTCAGCAGTTATGTGATACAGGTCGGTCCGTTATGTTCTCCTTAAGCGCAAAGCTGGACAAAATGAAGCTGTTTGCCCCCGACGTGCGAATACGGGGCTTTGCAACCCAAGTCCGAGCAATTCTGTTGTATGGCTGCCAGGCGTGGGGCCCTTTTGCGCTGGCAGAGGACGTAGACAGGGCGGGGAGGCGGCGGGATAAAGCCAACCTTGCGGAGGGCATGTTCGATGCCTGTTTAAAGGATAGTGCAGTCCAGCTGCAGATTTTATTCATGAGGCAGGTAGTGGGGGCGGCACGGCCATCCCACCTGAACTCCCCTTACAGTATTACATGGTGAAACAGATCCTCCGTTTCTGGAACCGCCTTCAAAAGCAAGTGGGGTCCATTGCCCATGCAGTTTTACGGCAGGAGATAACCGATGCCCTGACCAACCCGGAATGGGAGGGTTGGGGAACCTCAATGTTACGACTGTTTTCCTTCTTGGAGTGCAACATTTGGAGCGGAATACCGTAAGAAGTCATGGGGCTAAAGGAGCGTTGTTGAGTAGGCCTCTACCCGAAGGAGCGATGATAACGGCACTAAGGGAACGTTTGATGAGCGGCTGGGACCGTTTGACGATCTTGCCAGAGGAGTACCCATCAGATGGGAAGCAACCGGGAGTGCAAATGGCGAAGTATAAGCACTGGATGGGGCTGCCCGTTTCGGGAGCCGCAGTCGTCATGTGGCCAACACATGCTAAGGTTTTCATTCCTCGTTTAGCACATCGTAAGCTAATGCAGTTTCGTTTATGTTGCTGGGCTTTGGAGGCAAACAGAGCACGAAGGGGCAAGTACCATGTCCCCAGGGGGCAGCGGTTTTGCCGCTGTTGTGGTACTAATAGCCGAATCGAGGATGAAAAACGTGTGTTATTCGAATGGCCAGCCTATAATGATATTCGTGCTGAAGAGGGATTCGATCATCAACAGAGCATGTTGGAGGCCATGAAATGGGAACCCGTACGTCTTGCGAGGATGTTGGAACGTATGTGGGCTCATCGAAACTCAGTTACCCCTTTTGGACGATAGTCTGGGCTGATGTTTCATGTTCTTCGTGGCTTTTAGGCGTTGAAGTATTGCCCTTGGGCCTTCGGCTCGTATGGGTAGTTTTACAGGTATGGGGTCACGCAACCCCAACCACACACACATAATGTCTTTTTGCATCTCCCATCCATTCTTGTGCGCATTCGTTCCATGGAGAGCTCCTCAAATTAGCAACGCGAGCTAGCCAGAGCTCTGTGATCCACCTTCCGTGTTTTGAACCGCAAGCCCTCGCAAACTCCCTCCCTACCTGTTTTTGCGCCTTGCGGCTCCCACACCGCCACCGCACCGTGTCATTTACCATTCCGGCCCTTTTTCCGCCCCGCCCCGCCCCGCCCCGCCCCGCCCCGCCCCGCCCCGCCCCGCCCGAGCAGGCTCGAGTGAGCTGCCAGTGCCACCCATGGCCATTGGTGCGGGCAGTCTGGTGCAGAAGGCCATCATCGACAAGAACGCCCGTATCGGCACAAGCCGTGTCATCGCCAACAGAGCCGGTGCGTTGCGTTTTTGCGTGTACGTTACACTTTGCACACATGCACTCTCTTTACGTGTCTGTGTGTACGTACGTAAGATGCGTGAAACAGGGGGGTATATCTTCACCCGTGGCAGCTACCCTGCGAAACCCTGCCTTCCCCGGTATTTCGGGGCACCCTCATCTAGTCACCCTAGTCGACTTCTCAGTGGATCGCTCAGGTTCCGCACCCACCACCAGCATCCAGTGGAATCTGCCGGGTCGACAGCGGCCCAACTCTTAACTTTATCCCAGCTCACCACCGTCCATCGAGTAGGGGCGCAATATCTTCCAACATCGGAAGAATTTCCGAAATTCACAGGTCTCGATCCCGGGGCATGGTCGCGCGTTACCAGTAATGCTTAACCTAATATAATGTATGTATGAATGTATGTAATCTTCTGCACGATTTAAGGCTGTGAAAAGCAAGCAGGATGTGTGTAAGCGTATGTATGTAAGTGTACGCACACACATATGTAAACCTGCATGTTTATGTACGCGCAGTGAAGCTCACTTTGTACGTGTTCCGGCGATAAGCTGATCATGCAGACTATGCAGACTATGCATGTGCTTACATTTCATCGCAGAGCATGCACATGTTTGTGCAACATGCAGCCCTCCACATGCACCCGAATACGAACTCGCGAATATTCTCGATCGAGGAAGCAGTATTCACCTGCATGACCTGCATTCCACTGCCAAGCCACCCATATGCAAATTCCACAAAGCCACCATTCAAATACGTACAATCTTAGGAGCTACACAACCGTCCAAGAGAGGCACCGCCGTCCGGCCCGGCCCCCCGTCCCAGAGAAGAGGGTTCTAGGGCCAGGGACTTAAAAACTTTTAGCCACCGCAGGACATACATGCATGGATACATACGTACACACCTACATATATACATAGCACAATATACAGCACCAATCGGCAACTGAGGTTCAACTGAGGGACAGAACTGGACGGGGCGAAATACGACACTCCAACTTTTCTGACGCGAAGAAGAAATTTATGTACGGTACTGCCCTAATTTGTGCTTGTGCTAAAACCGCGCGCCACGTCAAAAGGAAGATGCGATACTCAACGGCACAGATTGTCAAAATTAACAGCAGTATTGCGAGCACCCTCACCACCAATTTCCGGTCCTGAAAATCCTGCGATGCTAACAGCCATAACTAGCCAGACACTACAATCCCATCAATGAAAATGCTTAGTTCCTTACGCTGCCCCCGCCCTCTTGTAGGTTTGTCAAACCAAATTTACCAAACCCATTCTTCGATTTTCAATATCGTGGGATGTGCGTAGTAATGCGGCCTTCACGGCAGTCCCAAAACTGCGAAAAAAAACCAGGCAGCCAACCGACTGATACGAACAGATCAATTGGCTCACAGGAAACTGAACCAGCAGCGTAACTTGTCCACTAGTTTTCCTTCAATTAATAGGCGAATTTCATGATGAAGATGCCGACAGCCTAAAGGCGCATCCTAAAGGCTCATGCGGCAAGACCCGAGGCCATTTTCCCGCGGCAGCTGGAATGCCATGTTCCGCCGTTAGGAAGCCAAATTATCACAAAAGCACCTTGATATGTGGAAGCATGTTAATTCCCAAGCTTCTGAGGTGCAAAACGCGACGCGTATCCGCCGTCCCGAACAACACCGCCAAATATACACATAAGCAGCATCGGTAAGGCAGCAGCGCCGTCTTGTCAAAGAACCAGAATATATAATATGAAAGTATAGGTCATAATATTTACCAGTAAAACTATCAAGTACTCAAGTACCCAAGGCCGCTCGACACCTTTTCACGCGCTGCGGAACCCGCTAACCTAGACGGGCTGCACATGCTAAGACGGGCTGCACATGCTTTCTGTCTACCACCGGGAGATATCCTCACAAGGGCTCCGGGGACTCGCAGGCTGCATGAGTTGATTTATTACCAATTTTCGTTTGTGACGCATTCAACGTATCCAACAAGGATAGGGTCATAGAATGCTGGCCGTAAAGGAGCGCGGCCTGCCCTCGCGGCCTCATTAAAAGGATCCAAATCCTGATGCAGGAAATCGTAAGCGGTGCCTCTAACTCCTCACGCATTATGACGCCCTCTGAATTCCGATTGCGCTGCGGAGAATTACGCCGGCCCCCCGCATCAGGGCCTTGGCCATCACCTGAACGATGTAGCATGTTGGGCACGGCTAGGTGCAGCGCTTTCTGTCTGAGTCTGTACGACACAAAAAGGGGCATGAAGGCGAGAAGAGGTAAGAGACTGACACCTTCATATACAGAAAAGCAAGCGGCACGCTACCGCCGTCTGTATGCACGTCTGCACATGTTATGTCAATGGGGCTGTGGGGGCTGTCTAAGGTCCGAGAATGCACTCTCGCTTTTGCCGACTGTCAAGCCGGCAGTGCGGCAGCGAGGGGCAGCCTCCAGCGTACAGGAAACGCAACCGAGGGTTAAGAAGGTTGGAAGACCGTTTCTTAAAACGGCCAACTGTCATATGCCAACTGTCAACCGTCAACGGCAAAGCACCGGAGCACAATCATACAGAAGACACTCCGGCGGCGGCTTCGGCGGCTTCGGCGAGCACGTATGCCATAGCCAAAACGAGCCCGGAGTAGTATGGGGTGGAGCGGGGTTGCCTTGTAGGCGGTGACCATACCTGCCATTCCGTCCTGTTGGGTTGAGGTGTGTAATGTGTGGGACAGAGGGGTCTTATTTTCCCCCCCGTGGCCGCTACCTGGCAGACCTTGCCTTTACCGGTGTATCGGGGCGCCCAGTAGATTACTCAGTTTCCACACCCACCATCGAATTACATTGGGAACTGTCGGATCGACGACGGCTCAACTCCGTCCCTGGTCAGCTTACAGGTTAATTTTATCCCGGGTCACCTCCCATCGATCCGAGGCATCTTCACCTATCACCTTTGGAAAGATGGTCGACTCTGACAGGTCTCGATCCCGGAACGTCCGGAGGCATTGCTGTGTGCTCTACCAGCAGTGCCTGACCTATTGTGTATATGAGGGGTGCAATGCGCTACCATACTCGTACAGACAGACCCCAATTAGGAAAGTTCTACATACATACACACGCACATACATTGTACACGTACATGAACACAATCAGGCTTATACCGTAGGAGGTTTCATCACGCGCTGGGGGGTTATTGCTAGGGGGCTTATGCTACCCCCTTTCACCCGTCCCCAGACCCGCGGCTCCCCCGTGCAGTGCAGTGCAGTGCAGTGCAGCCCGGTCATGCACCCACCGCTAGAGCGCTCTGACGGGCGGAGATCGGGGCCGTGGAGGAGATCGCGGTAGGCGCGGTGACCA